ACCTTAACTATTTTTATATGTACAGTGCAGGCATGTTAAGTACATTCACATTGTTCCACAACAAATCTCTACATTTTCATCTTGCAAAACTGAAACTCTACACCCACTAAACATAGAATCCCCCTGCCCTCTTTCCCCAGCCTTTGGCAACCACTTTTCTGCTTTCTGTTTCTGCGATCGATCCTGACTACTAAAGATATTTCATATGAGTAACTCATATAGTATTTGTCTTTCATTTTGCTTATTCTGTGATCATCAAGGTTCACCCACATTGTAGCCTACCACGTGACAAGATTAAACTCTTATGCATTCTTTTTGTTACTCTTTTAATTGGCTGTGCCATAAAATGTGATCTTTGTTATATGCTGCTCTATACTGTTCTCTAGTTGTTTCATGTGTGTAGGGCTCCTTCTCCATGCCAGATGCTAAGCTCTTGGTGATCAAGTGTCATATCTTAGATCTCTTTTAGACTCTACCCTGTGCTGAGCACAGGTTCAGACTCAACAGCAAACCTGAGTGATCAGGGACTATTCTGTTATTTGTGGCAACTCCCCAGCATCCATCATAATGCCTGACATACATTTTTTTTTTTTAAATGAACAAACCCAGGGTTCCTAAGGGCTGATTGAAAATGAAAAGATGAGAAGTGAGAGGCCCTAAATCTCCAACAACATACATAAGAAATAATCTAATAGGAGGAGAATACTAGGCAAACTGGAATCAGAGTCCCTGAAACACATAGTCTTAAATATAAGAATCTTTTTGACCTATTGCTGAAGAGTGAAAGGGCAAAGGGACAAAGTGACAGCAAAAATGGCCTGAATTTCCAAGCCATCCCATTCCTTAGTAGAATTCAGAGTTTTGACACACAGATGTTCCCTAGCAAGTGGGTGCTGGCCAGACAAGCAACCCATGCCCATATCTTGGCCTATCGCAAGTAGGAACAAACTCATGTCTGTGCTCTTTTGTCAACTTCCCCTACCTTTAATATCGAGGAACAGACAAATCCCCAGGATATGTGTGTGTGAAAAAGCCAGAGATGGATAAAAATAATTCAATGACAAATGCTGGAAAAACATACAAAGGGGCAAAAGCCAGACATTCGTGGGATTCCCTGACAGCTCCATCCACAAGGAAGGGCTGGACTGGAAGAAAACAGAGCCTCAGGTTCCTGCCAAGCTGTCTGAGGCCCTGTCCTTCCCAAGTCATTCCAAACAGCAGCCAAGACTTTACAGTAACCCTTCCAGCACTCACAAGGAAAAATGCACTATGAACCCAATGAATGCTGTTCACCTAGAAAATCCTTCTCCTTGCAATGGTCCAGCTCCACAAAAGGCTGGCAGTAATAAGGAGATACCTTTGCACATCAACTCTCAGCTCCTAATGACTCCCCATGTGCCCAGAAAGCAGATAATTAAAAGGCAGCTTGAAAAGCCAACCTTTCTCATTGGCCAGACAACAGCTGAAATACCCAGGTATCAGCATCTAGAGACCGGAAACACGGCTTGGAGAAAAAAAGAGGTCATAAACATGTGGTACCTGCATCCTGGAGTCCCTGTTGTGTAACTGTAAGTTGGCCCTGCTTGGAGGCTCACCTCAGGCTCCTAAACATGTGACTGCATTTGGCCCTAACTACTCTCTCTTCTGGAGAATGGCCTGCAATTAATCTCACTTATTACCTCTGAAAAGTAACAACAGCAGAATGGCTGGCCAAGTCCAACTCCAGAGCGTCTAGGGAACTGCAAGCTGTATGGCCAGGCCTCAGACTGTCTGGGCAAGTCATGGGCTCTTTGCCTTCATCTCCCACAACAAAGCCTGAGCATGGACTCCAGACAGACCAAAGGAACCAGGGGATTTGAGGAGCTGGGCTGAGCTCACACTGACCCAATGGGAGACGACAGCCCTGAGGCTACATTTGGAATGGTTTCCAACAGCGGGGGAAGAACAAGGTTGTCTGGTGAAAACCTGTGTGATCCATAAAATTGAGAACAATAGCAACACCATGGGGAAATGAAAAATAACACTATTTGCAGAGTTCTTGTGAGTCACCAGTTTTCATTCCTGTGGCTACCAAGTCACTGAATTCTCCGACATGCAGAGATGAAAAGTACAGCAGCAGTGGGATGCTCTTTACATCTCATTCCAGTTTACAGGGCAGCCTCTGGTTTGGTGAATTAAAATTTATCAGGACTGGAATCCACTGTTGCTATTGTAGAAAAACTAGTAAGAGTACCTTTTATTTACCTAGCCCCCACTTTAGGGAGATCAAAGTGCTTTAAAAGCAAACTAAAAGCTCTCAAAATAGGCCAGTTTATATGTAAATATGCTTACCCAATAAAAAAAATTAAATTGAATAGCTTAGGGTCACTTAGTGTCAAAAACTGTAACAAAAGTCACATCTTAAGCTATGAATACCATATTCATTAAACTTCGTCACCCTTAGTACCAAGGAGGAACAAGACACTAAATAAATATCCACAAAACCTACCATGTAAAAATGGAAATCAGGACTCAGTACTGTGTACAGCCGGCTCTGGAAGGATCTTGAGAATTCACTGAGGCCTGCTCTGGGGCAGGTACCTTGGAATTCCATGTGCAACTAAAACTCCCAAGCTGACTCTCCAACTATCCTGGAAACTACAGGTTACCTGGGGACAGTGACAGATTTCCCAGGGCTACCCTGGACTAGAATGGAACCTTCCAATTGGCCCTTATGCTTGAAGAGGAGGCAAAGAGAAGGCTGTTGTGTGCAGAACTAAGTAAAAAAGCAAGAGATGAGAGGACTTTGTGGAGTTGCATTTTGGCTGCAGTGGCTATGAAGTAAACTGTATAACGTGTCATTACACCAAACGCAGTCCCAGGAATAGTCTGGCTAGGAAAGAGCCACTCACCAGGCTGACCTCTACGTGCCAGGTCTGACCTAGACAGATCCATCCGGGCGGCTTCTATCTCACTACTAACAGGTGGTATAAGAGAAAGCGCTAAACCCAGCCATAATTTTTATTACAACTTTCTTCCCTCACTCTATCTACAAGGATAAAATATGCCACCTTTTTTTCTCTTCTTCTCTGAAATGTGTACTTTTGACATGTTGTTTACAGTATGAGAATGCCTGTAGCCTTGTCAAACAGACAGACTGCCCAAGATTGCAGTGAAAATGTTCTCCACATGAACAAGGCTCTGATTTTAACATGAACATGGAATATGTGGAAATATTTTATATGGAAAATAAAGCTCTATGGTATAAACAGAATTTCTTTTTTACAACTTATATTTCAGGAATGTGGTTACTTTGTAGATTGCAAATCACCAAACGACAGAACTTCTCTTGTGAGGAGAACTGTGTGGAAGATGTCCTGTCTCAAAAAGGCCTGCATCTTGGTCTCCAACTCTTCATAATTCTCAACTGAGATGATTCTTTTTACCCCAATCACAATGATCACGGGTTCAAAAGACGTCATACCAGAGCATGATATAATGTGCTTATGTTTATATTGTTTCTTGGGCAGGATTTCTGATTCCCCAATGAGCTCCTCAAGTAGTAATTCTGACACCAACACATCCTTTGACAAAAATGAGGTATTTTCTCCAGGCCCAGAGCTTCAGTACTCCTCCCAAGAACATGGCAGAACATGGCAGGACATAACAGGCAGAGGCTGGAAGTATTGGCACAGGGGCAGGGACTTGCTGGGACATCAGTGGCAGAGCTTCTTTATTTGGAAGGACTGAATCTCAGTGGCCAGGAGATTCACTGTAACAGTCACATTTCTCTCATTTGACTCAGGGACTGATGAAATTTAATCATACTTAATAGCTACTGAAGCAAGATGTGTTCAGATTGGAACCCATTTCTTATATTTTTAGTACAGAAAAACTTAAAATATAGAGACCATAATTTAATACAGTGATTTCTTCTTGAATTCAAAAATTGCTTATTTTATGGCCAAAATTTACTTGGATTTTGTCTTCTATCACTTTCCTCAGCTACATAAAGGAAATTTCCTTTCACTTCCCAAATGAGGCTGTTTGAGTTTAATTATATAACCTAGGTGAAAACCTAAAAACAAATATGGCAGCCAGGCATAGTGGTGTGTGTCTATAATCTCAACACTCTGGGAGGCTGAGCCAGGAAGATCACAAGTGTAAGCCCAGATTGGGTAATTTAGTGACTTAAGGAGACCCTATACTACGGTTTAGATCTAGAAGGTTCCCCCGAGAGGCTCATGTGTTCAGAGACTGGGATTTTGGAAGGTGACTGGATCATGGGGCACTGCACTTGGTGGGTTAATCCACTGATAATCCATAGCTGAACATGCTGTAGGGAGTGGCAGTTCACTGAGGGCATGACCTAGAAGGATGTACCTCTCTCCCCAGCTCCCCACTTCATTTTCTGCTTCCTGGCTGCAATGACATGAGCAGTTGTCCTCCACTAGACCCTTCTAGGCTTGGAGCCAGCCAAGTACAGACTGAGATCCTCCCAAACCATTAGAGAAAATAAAGACTTCCTTCTTTAAGTTGTGGGTGTTGGGTCCCAGTGATGGGAAAGTGACTAAGGCACTCTATCTGAAAATTAAAAATAAAAAAAGGCTGGGGATGTAGCTCAGTGTGAAGGTCTAAGGTTCACACCTCACTAGTGTAAAAAAAGAAATAAAACAAAACAAAACAAAACTCCCAAATATGGCCTTCAAAAGCATAAAAAAGAACTAGGAAGCAAGGACAAAATGTCAAAACTCAGTACATGAAAATGTTGATTAAAAACAAGGATTAAACATAGTACCAACTCTTGTTCTTTCATCCAGACATGATATTCTTAAATATATCAGAAATTTCCTTTTCATTTTACTTTCCTGAAAGCTGCCTTACAAATAAAATGAGGCCCTCCTATTTAAGTGCCAGGCAAGAAGACTGCCTTTGTAGTGAGCTCGAAGCAGGAATGGCTTGCTGGGGACCCAGGCCCTTCCTGTGCAACCCAAATGGCAGCACCAGGGCCCTTCACATACCTGCTTCCAGGGGGGCTGGAGTGGCTTTCGGGGGCATGGGGGTCACACTGTATTGACCACGCTGGACCACTGGGACTGATGACAGGTCTCAGGGAGGGGGGAGTTGAAGCACTGCTCCTGTTTATGGCACCACTTGCCATATTCAGGTTTGCTGCCTAGAAATGAAACGAGAGATAACTGACTTTACAGAGTTTTAGGAAAGTGTCATGAAAATTATATGGGAAAAATTAAGTAAAGTCCAAGAGACAATGACTCATCTGAGTTGAAGCGGAGGTGGTGACAAAAGCAAACAGGAAAGATTGCCTTCTGTGCAGAAAGAGCAGAGGTGGGTGGCTACTATCTGCATATATTAGCAAGTACTTATTCTGCTTCTATGTGCAAGGCACAGAGTGCTAGGTGTGGCAAAAAACAAAGATGAATCATAAAACCGAGGATTCACTGAGCATGTACTCTGCCAGGCAGTGTCTGAAACTAAATAGCATGCTTCTTCATCTTAAAGTTCTAAAGCTCAATAAACTTTAGCTACAAATAATTTTTATGACACACAAAGAACTCAGTGGTTTAGAAAGAAAAAAGATATACAGCTGATAAAAATGAGCATTGACTTCAATAACTTATAAAGAATACGATTGGGTGATTGAAGATTTTAAATTTTTCATTGGTAAATCTAAATTGCGCACAAAAATGCAAATTGCAGAGAAGTGTATGGTACAGGATACAATTTTTGTGTCATATTTGTACACAGTAAGAAAAAAGGATCCAATAAGGGAAAGGTGTGAGACTAGATATGTTCTTACACTACTTGTGTGACTATAAATTGATAGAATCATTCAATCAACTTGGTAAAATACGATTAAAGTATATTATAACATTCATGTACTTTGGTGCTATAATATAGATTCTAGGAGCTATATGAGAAAAATGCAGATGATTAATAACAGGCTATTAAATAATAGCTAATATTCAAATTTACAAGGTGACAAATTCTATGTAAATGAGTGTACATTATGCATATCTCATGTAAATTATATTTTTCTTGTTTGAGATAGGGTCTTACTATGTAGTTCAGGCTGGCCTTGAACTCACTATGTAGCCTTGGCTGGCCTCAAACTCTTGGCAATCCTGCCTCAGCCTCCCAAGTGCTGGGGTTATAGGCATGTGCCACCATACTGCCTACATCTCATGTAAATTAATACAAATCTGGTAAAAGTACTGTTATAATCTTTATTTTACAAAGAAGAAAGCTGAAGATTAGGATTGCATTGAGAATCAGGAACACATGGCTCACAAAGGACTCAAGCCACAGTCTTTGGAGCTCCAAAGCTCACACTCTCTTACCATCCTCCACTGTGAAGAGATACTGAAAAGCAAGCATTGCTTTTAATATTGAAAAAGGATAGCTAAATGGCTAATAATTTCGTTAAATAAAATTTTCTTTACTCCATGTAAGAGAATTTATCCATTAACTTTTTAAAAAAGTACTTAAGTGATAAAGGAACATGCTGATAGCTCAGGAAAAAAATCATGTTAGTAAAAATCAATATGAAACCATACAGGGTAGATTCAAATTTCCTTACACACACACACACATACACATACCCAGTGGGGGCACTTAAGACTGGAAATAAAAATCCAGAATATATAGCATCTATTTCTCATCTATTTCTTGTTTTCTTATACTTACCATATTCTCCAAATTACAGTAGGTACATATTACTTTTATAATCCAAAATATTTTTAAGTCGTTATGACAAATGCAGGTGTGAGGTCTGATAGGTCTGACCTCTGTCTGCCCCTCTTCCAGCCACCCAAGTTCCTGGAAGGGCTGTTCCCAGCCACCTGAACCCAAGGAACAATGCCTACTCTACTAGGACATGGCATACCCACCCCACCTGCTAGGTCACAGCATACCCACAAAAGTGGCTACATACTCAATTATTCCCGCTCCCCAAATCTCATGCCCTCTTCACCTCACTCCATCTAAGCCTAGCCCACTAACTCCCCTAAGCCTACCCTAAAAGACCCAGCTCAACAAACTTGCCTGAGACTCTCCTTTGACAGGAGGTCTCTCCCGGAACCCCCAAATTCAGGCTGGCTGTGTTCTTTACTGGGTCATCACTGTTTACTGAACAAGGTGATAAGCTTAAACCCTGTGCAGTGGTAGTGAAAGGATGGTTGTGAGAAGTACATCAATACAAGATGCCCAGGAAAGATGCTGAGAAGACAGAAGATATAAAGTTGGACACAGGGTTTTGAGTCTGAGCCATCAGCAGTGATTTAACTCATCAGACAGGAGAGATAACTCCCGATGAAAATGTTCTCCTATATAATGTCTTAAGTAACTAATAATTTTGACATTTATAAATGAAAGAATTCTAGATTTTAGAGCAATCTGAAAATTCTGAAAAAAGTCATTTTTAGCAACAGTACAGTGTTTCCTTCCTGGTCACAGAAGCCCAGAAGTGAAAACAGCCCTGGCCTGTGTCTTCACACCAAAGAACTCAATGTAGTTTTCCTGCATGGAAAACTGTTTCCCCTAGGTCAGGAGCAGTCTTTGGGGCTGTGACGGCTGGGATGTGGGACACTCTAGCTGTGCCCTCCAACGTGGACCAGGCTTTAGCAGAAGTCTCATGAGCTAACCATGGCTTAACCCTCTGTCCTGCTTTCTGCAGGCACCAGAAACGAGACACAGACATGCTGATTAAAGGAAAGGGAAGATACATTTCTTTGAAGGACTTTGTCCAGAGAGGCAACATAGGCCAGGCCCTGAGACAGTCACACAGGCTCCCTGCAGGACTGAATGCTCTCAGAATTCACACGGACCCCTCCTCCTTCTGGCCCTGCTCTCTTGACTTGAACATCAGTCTTTTAAATTAGATGTGAGCTTGCAGCTTGTAGAGAACTACAAAGTGAGAAAGGTCTTTATGATGACTAACAGTTGTGCCAAAAACTTAATAAAAGAGGTTTCATAATAATTTATAGTGGAATAGCAGTAGAATAATAAATGTACACATTGTATAAATGGCATAGTTTGGAAATTAGTGAATGGAGAGAAGCAGATGGATCTTGTAATCTTCTATCTTTTGGCAGGGCTGCCCCCAATATAAACCTCAGCATTTATATCCTAACAGTTAACACTTACTGAACACTCACTATATACCCTGTACTAGATGTCTCTGCATTCTGTTCATGAGGATGATCTCATTAACCCTAAGCAATGCCTTTGAAATCAGTTCTACTGTTACCCTCACTCTGTCAAAGAAGAAACTGAAGTCTAGAGAGGCTAAACAACTAGACAAAAGTCACACACAGAGTGGCAAGGCCAAGGTCAGAACAGAGTGTTTGTCTCCTGAGTGCATGTGGTATATTTTCTCCAAATAGTATCGTTTAACACTTGAATCCTTATGACAGTGGTGTCAGGCACGCTGGGTTTGATATTTCTCTTACTCCTTACCCACTACTGATGGAGGTAGATACTGTTAAATTCCATTCTACAGATGAAGAAACCAAGGTTCAGAGAGGTTATGGTAAGTGATTTACTAAGTCAGATAACAGTAGTAGAACTTGTATTCCTATTTTAAAATCCATTTTCTAGTTTGGATGTAGAGAAAATAATCCTACTTACCCTTAATTATTAGAGATTTGAAAATATGTCAGTAGACGTTGACCTCAAATACTAAAAATAGTGATTATACATTGATCAATAAAACAACACCAATTTTTTCTTTTTTCCCTTAAATTTGGTTTCTCTCTTCTTATCCTTCATTAGAAGACAAAGAAAAAAATCCTTAATCAGTTTTGATTCTTAGTAAAAAGTATCTTAACATTTAACTAAATTTGGATTGTGTTTTGGTGGGTTTTGTTTAATCATAACATCATTCCTTATTTTATGGATAAACCAAAAGTTGCCATCCACTGTGATTTCTTTATATACAAAAGCAAAATGCAGTTGTTAACCTATTTGGAGAAATAGCAGAAGTAATGGCCACTTAAATGAGAGGCTATATAAGGAATGTGACAACTTTATAAGATTCTCACTTTTCTTTCCAATGAATTTCTGCCCCAAACAAGCAAACACTCTTGTCTTTACCAAATGACAGCAACCAGTCCCTTGATTCTAAATATTCTATGGCTTAAACACTGTAACTACTGCTCCTACCTCTCAGTCCATGGCTGTCTTCCCTAGGACACACACTGCTAATCAAACAACTTGATCCTGGCTTGAATGAGAACTCAGGACCTTCTTCACCTAGTTCTCTAAGCAGCCACCACCAATCCATCAGAAAGTCAAGGGAAACGAATCTATTTTTTATTTCTGCTCTAGAAGAGCACTGTCTAGCAGATTGATTCTGTGATGAAAATGTCCTGTAATCTGCACTGTCCAATACTGCAGACTCTTGGCACATGTAGCTGCTATACACTTGAAACGTGGCTGGTGTGACTGAGAAACTGGACTTAAGTTTAACTGGAATTTTAAAAGTGAGATGTAACTAGTGGTCAACATACCTTTAGACCCTTCACCAGATTTGACTGAGTTTTACGTCAGACCTTAATAAACTTTAAAAGCCACAGAGGGTTCATATGTAGAGGATTATAGTAGATCCTCCTCTTGAGGCAGGAGGATTGTCACAAGTTTGATGCCAGCCTGGGATATGTAGTGAGTTTAAGGCCAGCCTGAACTGCATAGTGAGACTCCGTCTCAAAAAACAAAACAAAACAAAACAAAACAAAAAAGTGGAACTCATAGCCATTAGGCCAGTTGGTTTCTATGGACTAATAATTACAATGTTTGTTACTACATCTAGGCTGGCCAATTCAAATTCATGTTACTGGTCATAAGATAGATGGGACAGTTTGAAACTCATTTAACTTACGGGAATTATGAGTCAAAGAGCACACACCATTACTAATGGATATCAACACACAAAATGCAGTGTACACATACAAGAAACTTTTATGTATATTTGGACATTTATAATGTACTATCACAATCAATTTTTATGCAAATTATATTTTAAAAATTCTACTCTAATAATAATTAAAAATTACGTTAACACTAAGAGTGTTTAGATTTTTTTTTTTTAGAGTGTCTAGATTTAATGAACACTTAGTTGGTTTCAGGCATTGCTTTAAGCATATTATATGCGTATTAACT